CTGAAAGCCCAAATGGTATGGACAATAGGTTTGTACCCCCAGAACAAAAAGAAAAATTGCTCGTTATCCTATCCGCATAACAAATCAAGACTGTCTTGGTGACGAAGGTCAATAGATTTAGTGCCTATGAAAGGAGTCATGAAAGAGTCATCAGCGACCGCATGAGTAGTGTGTTACGTCCAGACAATGTATCGTAGCATCTCGAATATCGTACCAACTGGAATATGAAGTGGCCTTGTGCAGCGCATTCAGTTGGACAACGCCTGGTTTAGCTGGCTTCAGCTGAGCCCCTGGTCAAAACCAAGCTAATGTTCAAATAAATGTATTCCGCGACTTTCGTATGGCTGTTTGGGATCAAGTAGACCATCAGGTTGACGGAAACTTGGGTACTGCGCCCACCTGGTAGTCCCTAAGAAGAGAGAAACCGGTCGTGGGCTGTTGAAGAGTTTTCAGCGACCTTATGAGTAGCGTGTTGCCTCCAGATAACAATCATCCTAGCTCCGTTAGTAACTACTACTGTACTTGGACCCACACCACATGTCCAAGACCCCCGAGAGTAAATTTTGAGAAACGCTCGTTAATACATTCCTCTCTTTAGGTTATATCTTCAAAAGAACATGTATTCGGTTATATTTTGAAGGGACCAGAGACGTACCACGTTCCTTTACAATTACATAACCATATAAGACTGGTTGGTCAGATTGCTTCGTTTATTGCCAGATCTCCGTTAGAAATAGTACCAGGTCAACTTTCTCCAAATAAATCACGTAAACCTATCCTCGTACGTCATTTATTTTGGAAGAGGTGAAGTCCAAATGAGTAGTGTTCAGAATACTGGCTTTATTGTGGCCGTAACACTGTGGGCGAAGTTTTTTGTTGGCTTGCTGAGACGAATGGCTGGAAGGCAGGTATCCTTTGATCGGTGTTCCCATCATCTTTTATTTTAACTAACTGGGCTGCTTTTGCAGCTGTTCGGCCAGTAAAAGAGATCTTATCGTACTATCCATTGATCTGTTTTGGGCTTTGTAGCTGAAAAATCTGATGCAATTAGCGTTGAAATGAAGGACACTACAAGAGAGGAGCATGAAAGTACTACCAATGCGGAACCCGCTGAATCAGAGAGCGAGGCGAGTAGCACTTACTACGAGACAAGTGATGAATCAGAAGCAGAAACGTCTATCAGCTCTGAATCCGATGAAATTCCACGACGCAACACCTCCTGTCTCATGTCCGTTGGTATGAATGTTGGTGCTACTGTCTCGGATACGTTTGATGCTACCAACCTCCGTCTGGTTATTGGCCTGGAAACAGAATTACCTTCTGGCGCCTCCAAGTCATCGATTGGCCCCTATCATTACCGCATAGTGGCTCCATTTTTGCCAGAACGGCTCGCTTTGGCTCAAGGTCATTCGGGTGTCAGTGCAACGGGTTTGGCTGCTTTAGACACGTCCAATGATGAAGCCGCTGCCTGCTTCATTAGTGTGGCCAAAAAGCAGCACACGAATCAGATCGCAGCCGACATACGCCACTGGTGTTTGCCGATCCCCCAGGACTGTCCCGGTAAGTCGACCTTAAGAGTGAGTCTGCGGGGTCGCAAGCCACTAAAGCAGGATTTTCATTCATGAGGACTGCTCTTGTTGGAAACAATTGTATCCCCATGCCGACACATTGCTGTAGCTCCGTTGTGTATTGGGTTAGCGTTAAACATCTACCCTAGATAGCATCCCAACTGAAGCTCTTTTTGAGGAAAGGCCAAGAAGTACCCGCTTTAAAGTGATTTCTGCATGAGTCACTTTGAAAACTTTATAGTAAGATAATTAAAAGAATGGTTGTGAAAATTTTATATCTTTGGATATCTGTCCTGCCCCAAAACCATGGAAAGACAACACCGTATTGCATTCGGGAACGGGTCCGCCGTCTGGATGTTTTGACCACGTGCCAGCCTGTTCTTTCGGCAGGCTGCGTTAGTACGGTAGTGTGACCGGGTTTGAATAAGGCAAGGTTTTTACATAGCACCAAGTAAATACTCATGTCAATCCGTCAAGATAGCGTTGTAAGCATCCCAAAAGTGTGATCACTCTTAAAAATGGGTATTTCAGTGAAGGAATAAAAGAAACTGTATGCACAATCAGACGGTTGGAATTTATTATGCTCCTATCACCTGGAACTTCCTCTTTCTTGCTGAATGTCCTACAGTTTAACTGTTTCTCGACCTCCGTTCCGTGGTGACTCAACTTTTAAATGCGAACTTGCCGATCGGAGGAGCTGTCGTTCGAACCCAACCACGGCACTTCGACTGCCCCTCAGAAAAACTTGGTGGTATATCGGCTCTCGTGATTCATTTGAGTAGTATAACGGCTAGACAGGTTGGCACAACTGCTTATTTTATTCAACTGCTAAGGGGTGACGTTGATAACTTGGAAGTCCGTGATTCGAACCCATCTCTGGCTTTTGTATTACCCCCGTAGAGGATTGGTCAATCTGGAAGTGTCCTAACCCACATATTTCCTGCGAGTGAAACGAAGTCATCAATCAGCAACCATAAACTAAGCAGTTACAAGCCACTGGGCGCAAAAGCAAACATCTCGTATGCATATAGTTTATAAAAACTGAATATTCTCACATGCCCCCTTGAACTTTCTTGGATATTCATTGACTATTACACAATAGTAGACGAACACTGCAAAGCAGTTTCACAGTTCCCCCAGTAAATTTCACCTTTCATCCGATGCGGGAGATAGAGCTTGGACACCAAACCATAGGCTACTACCATACCTCATCAGTAGTATATACTTTACACAAGAAGCGTGACAGAAATGCATCGGCAAAATATCACAGTTGAATGATTGCTTTTTCTCCTTTCAATATAAGCGTCACTGAACCGCGAAGTTTCTCTTACTTATCTCCTTAATTACCTCACCGAAATGCTCATTTTCACGTTTGATCGCGGTTCTAGTGCATCTGACATTGAGTTTATAGAGCCATTGCGAAATCCAAAAACACCTGGGCCATTCGCCAGTTTCTACTCACTGCGAGTATCAAAGTTTCTGGTGGAAATATTGGTCATCTTCCATTCGAAAACGTTCTCCTTGAATTCGATTACGACCCATTTTCCACTAGATAATTCCATCAAAAATGTAGATAGCAACTGCCAAGAGGTGCGAAACTCGGAATCAAAATCTTGATTGGAAGCAGCCGAAGGTTCAAGGTTGACCTGTTGATCCCTTCTTTCGCGTCGGCTGCCGTCGCACTCATCGTTTCCTTGTCTTGCGTACCTTACTACCACACGTCACCTCAAATCCCAACCAGTCCATTTACCCGCGGTTGGTTCGATGCATTCGAAGGTCCTCTCGTCCTGGTTTTCATAAAACTGACATCCATGCAACAAATTTCATCGTCTAGAGTGCTATTTGGCCCGTTTGGGACGATTCGGCGTTCCATGAACTTTTAAAAATTCAAAAATCTCTGCACTATTCCTTGTTCTTCAGCCACACAACGATTTGGTTGACATTTTGTCCTTTTTACTCATCGACAGCATGAAATTGATGTTCATCACTGCTGCTCCTCTGCCGTACCCACTCATCGACATCATCATCGACAGCATGAAATTGGTGTTCATCACTGCTGCTCCTCTGCCGTACCACAATGGTTTATTTGTTTTACCACAAGTAGCAATTTTCCGGGCAGAGTTATCAACTTTTCTGCTGACGAAGGTTTTACTCTGTCCGAATCCGGTTTCACTATTGTCTGTCGTCGTGAATACAGAATACGTATTCTGAGACGTCTTCAGTCTACATGTGGACTCTCGTCGCTGCTTTAAATAGGTTCGATCGATGTTGACATTCTATGAACTTCGAAGTGCAAATTTCAAGGTCACTGGTGAGCCCAAGCAATCAAGCAAACAACTGGCGTCCAAATATGACTAACCGTTGTTATAGTCTTCTCATGGCCATGCGATGACTTCAATGGTGGTGGATTATTGATCGATTTAAGCTCAGCAGACCCATAAGTGTGCAATTTTTGAACGTTCTAGCCTCGATGATTTATGGAAGAATGTATCGGGATGCCCATATAACCTGTTTGCGTGACGTATTTGTTCACTAGGTGCTTCCGATTTCGCCCCACGTCACTTCATCCACCCGGTTCTAGCGATAAGAATCTGGTATTACACCGTCATCATCTTTCGAAGTTCTTAGCTCTATGCGTGCTACAATGTCGCCAAAATCAGAGTTATCGTTTCCCCAGTGTCTTCTGTGGTTGGTAATCCCTTGAAAACTGCTTTCAAACACCAGGTCTTCCTCGGTCCCTCGTTCTCTTTATGGTTTGCTGTGTGTTGTCCATGTACGTTTCTGACTCGATTCTCCTACTGTGTATCGTTATTTGCCAATTAGCTCCCGTCGCCGAACACACTGGAGCAGTCACTTGTATGAGCCGCTTTTGGTCCACAAATCCAATTGGTTGGTGTGCTTCTGGGGGAGAGGATGGACGCGTGGTTTTCCGGCGATCCGTCCAGAAAACAGTTGACACTAGAACTGACCCATCGCCGCTTGAACTGGCCAATTTCCTGCAAAACAGTTCTTGGCTTGTTGCGTTCAGCATAAGTTTCTTTTACGACCCCGTCCAACCCATAGTACCCATCAGCTCGCTCTACATCGTCTCCGCACCACAGGCTCACTTTGTCTACGTTGCAGCCGGGAAGATGGTATGGTTACTTATTATCCCGGACGCTATGATGTCCGTGTTGGAGACAACGTCCAGTTGTACTGTGAACGACTTGGAGGGACTGACAAACCCGGACAATAAGTGGGGTGACCGGATCCGAGTGTTGAGGTACGTGTATTTAGTTATACGTAGTTGACATATCAAGAACTTCTTTGTATTAGGATTTATTTGCAGCAAAAATAGTGGTGATGTCTTTGTTGTGATTTTCATCAGTTTCTGATGGATTTCTACCACGTCCCTGTTGATCCCCTGGTTGGCCTCGGTAATACCTCGATTCGCTAATGTTTGCGAGAAGCGAGTTCAAGTTCTTCGTTTGAATAGAGCAGCCCGAGGCATGCTTCGTTGAATTCGTAGTCTTCAACCATCCTTTCGTGCGACATGACCGTCCGAAGCAAAGTTGTGGTGACACACACCTACCTGGGATAAATCTACACCAATAAACGCGTCAAATGTGGGTCACTTCTAGGACACTTGCGATGATGTTTCCCTGACATTTGACATGATCATCTGTTCATGCTTCTGGTGTACGCCACATACACCAGTAGTCTATCGAGAGCATCAACTTAGAAGGGCCAGGTTGAGCAGACGCGTGATAAACATTGGGTTTCATACTGCTGCTCGTTTATCTCCTATGTATCCTTTGTAACCTCTTTCATGTAGATAACAATTCCATCCCTCACCAGACCGCTTGATTGCGCAGCTGAATTTCGGGAGAATCGATTAAGGTGACCGCCTGTTGACCCCTCTATATATTGACGACAGTTCCAGATGATTTTATCTCGGAGACATTCATCTGCGGTCTAGCAAGAGAAGCGAGCTGACTGATGCGATCGATGATTATGTGACCCAGTGTCTAGTTAGTGTCGTCGACGTAATCGGCATTTTATATCCACGCCATATAATGCTTGATGACACCTAAATACCTGAGCAAAGCATTTTTCTTCAGCTAGTCGATTAAGAAATTGAAAGCTTTTGGAAATTGGTTGTTGATCCGGTGGCTGTTGATCTGTTTGCGGAGCTTGGCAATCGGCTTGCAAACGTTTCGTCACCATACGAGGAGACATCATCCGTGCACAGTTGGGTGAGACATTCTTGCCGTACGTTCTAGAATTCAATTCTAGTGCTCAACATTGCAGTCAGAACAGAACAAGACTGAATGAACTAGTTGTCCGCCACAGTACACGTAAAACGGACTAGAATGCGGCAAACTACAGCCCAAATCTGCTAGCTAGGTTAGGTCTAAAGTAACTGAGGAGGCCTCTATGTAATTTTCAGGTGTTTCTCCTCCCGGTAGGCCAAAAATCAGACATTCTTGCCGTACGTTCTAGAATTCAATTCTAGTGCTCAACATTGCAGTCAGAACAAGATGTTGCTGGACGAACTAGTTTTCCGCCACGATACACGTAAAACGGATTAGAATGCGGCAAACTACAGCCCAAGTTTGCTAGCTAGGTTGGATCTAAAATAACTGAGGCCTCTGTGTAATTTTTGGGTGTTTCTCCTCCCGGTAGGCCAAAAATCACCACAGACGGGCGAATTGGTTAAATGCATGCTGCTCCCGGTGTTCTGTAATTTTCACCGATACGTCGTTGACGTTGGCACTTTTGTTAGTGTTACTACACGTGGTTAGCAGTACGAAACTATTTTAAATGACTGCTGGATTGGAGTCATGGAACTTCCCAATGTTCAGGAGTACCGTTGTTGGTATTGGTCTTGCTACTCTCAGACAAACCAAAGAGAGTCGGTTTATTTGAATGTGAGATTCTGGATACGGCAGTCATGCAAATGAACCTGAAGACAGTAGGCACGCAGTGGAGGTCCAGTGCGTCTCTTCAGACGAGCCCAATACAGTGACCTCTCGGGGAACATAGCTATCAAGATGGTCACATTCCTGAATGCCCGAAATCTAGTGAGATCCTCAACTCCACTCGACGCCGACCAGACAAACAACGCCTCCTCAATATGCAGCGTGTGACAGCCTTGTTTCAAAGCCAGACGGTGCGAGTCAGACCAAGGTCAGACAGTGTCCCTGTAACAAAATAGCTTGAAACCGTTGCATTTTCGCACTCACGCTTTCACACTCGCTTGTTCGCAATAAATCTGTTGTGTTTCTAATCGGGAGTCTTTTTTGGCACTAGGCACTGGGGCGGGGAACAGCAGTCAGACATAACAGATTGGCGACTCAGTCAGATATAACAGTAGCCGACAAAGTTGAACCCGCATTTGACGCAATTGGAAACAGTTATTTCCATTCTGGGGAAATTCGTGCTACGACCTGTTCCGCTAAGGTCACTCTACTGATTTCGTCCATTCGTTTTTTATGATGTCCACTACTACGTTTTATGGGCTTCATCATGCTATCGATGGCTGAGTCATTCACAAAATGTCGGCGATAATCTTTATTCTTCTGCATATTACACAGTCAAGCTTGAATGCACCTTATTGGAAATGGGTTTCAGGTTTTTACATTAGTTTTGAAAAGGGTTCATTCCGAATTACCTACAATCGTTACGTAACGTACGACAAGCCAGGTCGACCAGATTACTTCTGAAGGCTGCCTTCGACGCACAACCTCTTGATTTGACATACAGCCATCTTGTATATTGGGGAATGCGCGGTACTATTTTAAACACCATGTACTGACGAAAGTGGCAGGGAAACAAAAGGTGCCAATCGCAGAATCCCGGCAAAATCACCCCGACGTTTTCATGGACTGGAAGCGCTGGGTCCGGTCGCCGGTTGGTCAACATGCTGACCAATCGGATCACGTCCGTTCTTCCGCTCTGATGCTTGATTATTCCAACCGGGCGCTGACCAATCGGATCACGTCCGTTATTCCGATCTGATGCTTGATTATTCCAAGCGGACCGTTTTTTGAACAGAGCGAGGGCCTCACTTCTCACAGTATCTCTAAAAATAAACGAGTGGAGTAATCGGAGGTGGTGATTTGTTTAGACTGGTTACTTGCGCCCTGGTGTATCTGTCAGTGTGCTTTTGTTAGATAATCCGCTGTGGTTCTAGGTGGGTGACGTCAACATCTGTCGTGTACTCACCCTAGAACGGCTGTTTACGTTCGAGCCCACTTACTGCTAGAAGGAATAAGCTCTACATGTATCCTCTATCTTAATCTGTCTCATCCCTTACAGCCTCTCTTTTTCGGACGCGATAATTGAGCTATGTCCATTACTTGAACCCATATCGTCGAGCTCCGACTGCTTTTGTTTGCTGGCCTCCTTTGGGAACGCCTCTCTGATGCAACTTGTGCATAACAAGAGTTTTCCGAGTTTCGATTCCAAGAATGGGCCTAAACTTTCTTCTCTGGAGCTCCCTTCCAGGTCAGTGAAACGGTTCAATAGAATAGGTGGTCTATTCCTCTGTTCATGTGCCCCCTCTACATGTTTTATGCATAAGTCTTCTTGTGTACTGTGCTGTAGAACCTAGTGTGTTTTTCCCCAAGTCACTTTCATGCCCTTGTCCGTTTTTAATCAGTAGCATGAAAACACATCGTTAACCCACCTCATCGACCGTCTGAGTTACATACGAGAGTATGATAGATCCATGTTCGTCCTATTGGTCTCATTGGAAAGCACTTGAGTGATGCAACTTGATTGACGCGTATAATTTGTACAGTACGGTACTCCTTCTCCTCCTTAATGGGTCTTCAGAAAATCGATCAATACCCGTTGTAGTTCAGAAGGATCCCATACAACCAATCAGTAGTGATCGTAAGATATTCTTCAGAAGAGGTTCTCTGCCTGTCATTCTATTCGTGACCATCGGCATCTCAGAGAGTTCTATTTCCATTGTACGATGAAGCACTTTTGTTCTAAGCATTCTGTTGGTATCCAGGCTTTTTGGTTGGCTCCACATCAACGGAAGATTAATGTCCTGTGGAATTCGATGCTCTCATTGGTGGGCAGCATCAGACTACACATAAACGTCCAAGTTAACGAGTTGCGGTTAAAATCTGTTCGGTGGTAGGTCAGTAGCTTCAAAAGCCGCCCACTTGTTTGGAATTGTGCCATGGTTTTAGTTCGCTATTCTTATTTCAGTCGGTATTCACTGTTTTCTTCCTATTAGTGCCCCACATTTTCCACACATGTTGCGAAACGTTTATAAAGCCATATATTTTTTGCAATAACGTTATCATTTTGATACTAAAAAGCACCTATAAAGCCATCTGATAATATCCAAACAAATCACAGTTTGTAGGTTATCTTTTTGCCTACTTAAGGTGATGGAAGCCCGATGTTGTGGGAGAACTAACCAGGACTGTGATTCGTTCAAATTTTACATAAGCAAATATGTATCATTTATTTATACCATTAAAATGTTAACTGTAATCCCCCTGATTTGGTTTGAACATAGCTTGTCTCTGAGCATTGCGCACCTCAGAAACGTCGCACTGACGACCATTGGAGCTAGAATAGAACTACTCAGAAGTACTCACCCATTTGCAAAGCGATTTGATGTTTTTAAAATCATCATGATCGAGAGATTTAGCTGGGTTCCTGTTGAGTCTCGCGCAAAACTCGAGGACTATGCCTAGTAGAACTACTCAGAAGTACTCACTCATTTTCAAAGCGATTTGATTTTTTAAAAAACATCACGATCGAGAGATTTAGTTGGGTTTCTGTTGAGTCTCGCGCACAACTCGAGGACTATGCCTGCCTGTTGAGTCCCAAGAAGGGTGAAACCGGTCATGAGCTGTCGAAGATTTTTCAGCAACCTTATGAGTAGTATATTACGTCCATTCAAATATCGCTCTATGTCGAATATCGTACCAACTGAAATATGAAGCGGAACTGGTGAAACACATTCAGTTGCCTGAAGACATCATAAACGAGAGATTCAGCTGAGTCTCTCGTGAAACCAAATTGATTTGCAAATGAGTTTTCGCTAATTTCATGCAAATTGGGTTTAAGTAGAACGTAGAGTAGCGTATTACGTCTACACAGATAATTTTTCCTTATCGAACTGATGGTTACTGTTAGTTTCGGTGCCCCCTGACCGCTGAATTACGTCTAGATAATTTTTCCTTATCGAACTGATGGTTACTGTTAGTTTCGGTGCCCCCTGACCGCTGACTCATTTGATAGCTTGTTTGTATGGGTGTTTTTCTATGCCCACGAACCATCCATAACCACACTTGTCTTTTGAGTATCTTGGTCAATGTGTAGTGCGCGCTTCGTCAGAGTTGGTGGGACAAGCTCTACTTTCCTTAATATAGGAAGCTCTAGGAAGCTCTGTGAGATTGTTAAAATCCCGATCCCCTGACCAGGAGTAAATTCGCCACAAAAGGTAAATTTACTGATACCTAAACTATCCCTCTTATGTCGAGCATCTACCAATAATCACACAGTTGGACAGGATGACATGTTCTCGAGCCATCTATCAGTGAGGAAAACAGTTCCAAAGNTCGAGCATCTACCAATAATCACACAGTTGGACAGGATGACATGTTCTCGAGCCATCTATCAGTGATGAAAACAGTTTCAAAGTCAATGGTCGTCTATCGATGCGGCGTCTGATATACTAAAAATACTGGCGAGAAAACCAATTGCATAGGCTCAGAGGGATTCAGTTAGACTGGCCCATTTCGTCGCCACTATTTGGTATGATTCTATGTCATTTTACCGCAAATCACTAAGGTAATTATTTCTCTTAATACTTCCACGTATTACACAGTGCATTACACAATATGAGCAGCTCCAATGAAATACTAAACAACAATTTATGTTGGTCTACTACTATCCTCATCGAGTAGTTTGTCCAGCATAAACATTGGAAGTGTATAGCACATTTGCACACGGATTTGGCTTTGACAGGAGATTTGGTTGAATCCAGCTGAAGCGAGCATGCTGCGTCTTGTCAACAATGTGTAGCCCAGTGTCTCCGTTCACCCAGATGGGGACTAAAGTGACCATATTCATTTCACACCCCATTTGGGACCTGTTGTTAGGCTTGTCGAAATGGTATACTCAAATTATCCCAAGCTTTTCCCTGTTTCGAAAAGTCAAACTTTTATCACAAAGGCGCTGACAAACAAAAAGCTTTGCACCGTGCCTTTGTAAATTCACTGTGTTCACGTGCGTCTGGCTGTTTCCCATCCAATTTCACTGAGACTGAATCCGTCAGCACTGACGGTTTATTGAGTATGCAGGTATGAGACCCCAAAAAACTATTGTGCCTAGAGCGCATAACGACATACAGTCGGTCTAGATTTCACGTGACTGTACGAGGCATCCGACTGATGAAATCGGTTCGACGAATCACGTCTTCTGATTGGTCTATAAATCAACGCCCAATCAGATTTCGATGTCCGTTTCGCGCTCACTTTCAAGGACTGGCTCAGAGCCGGAACTCTAGCATATGTTCAACATCTTTATTGCAACTGTGATACGTTGGTAGTTCTCACGTAAATCAGTTTTTTAGAGGGGTAGGGTCTTAGCCAAGGTACCTACTGGTCTCCCAAAGAGGTTCTCAAAGAAATATGAGAATATTCGCACTTCATCAAAGTCCTTCAATAATAGCGCCTTTTCCACTGTACTGATCAAGCAGTGAACTCGTTATACCTATTTTATCTCACGACGTCTCCGAAACGGACGCGTCTTCCATACTGGGGTATGTTAAAATCGGTAGCCATCTAGTTGAACATTTATGTGTGAAACCTCCACTTTCCAGGGCACATCAGTTTGCACAATACTCTTTGAATGGAAAGTACATTGTGGAGCTGATTTCTTAGTCTGAATAGTAGAATGGTTCACTCATCGATTCGACTTATCGTCAGGTATGCCGATAATTTTTTCGGGCAGTACTCGAAACCTATCCATTTTTCACTCACCTGATCCTCGGGATGTGCATCCACCCCAACATCCCGTTTGTTTCGCTCAGGCACTTGAAATAATTTTTGGTGTATCTATATTTCCTGGAACCTCCGATTATTTTATCCGGCTCCTGCCGGTGTAACGTGTCCCCTGATGAAGAAAACCCTTCAAGCTTGTGGACAAGACACTAATCCAACGAACGGTTGCTCCTATTTCTAGTTGTGTCAGCACGAATGACCACTTTTTAGAGCCAGTGGGACTGTCCTTACCGGCTGATTTTATTGCATAAGCTTGCGGTGACCCAGACACATGAAACGCAGCACTGGTCGCATCAGGGTTGATCACATTCAAAGTGGGACCAAACCGCCCATACTGCATTCATCAGGCGTCATAAATCTGATGCATTTACGCAAACAGTTGACTTCATGTTATCCCGGTGTCTACTTTCTCGGTCGAATGTGAAATCTAGTTGTACGTTTGGTTGTCCTTATGAGAAGGCAATCATTTGCCCACCTAAACTCTAAATCTTGTCTCCAAGGGTCCGTTGTACTAAGGGTAGACGTGTCGTAAATCGTCACTGTGGGTTTCCATTGAAAGGTGAACTATTTTTCCGCATTTTTTTCGATCCCAACCACATCTAAGGTTTGATTGAGCGGTTGCTAACGTACACCTCGATGGTTAATCAATTTCGTAGAATTTCTAGTTATATTTACTGATGGTAAAGCTCGCCCCTTGATGCAAGTACACAAACCGTTCTGGAGTTCAGTCAGACTGCATCATGAAGGCCTCTAGATACTGCCAGGCACAAACAAAATAAAGCCTGTGACTGGACAAACATACTCAGCTTCTGTGTCTGTAAAAAGATGCGGTCTCTCCATTAGTTCCTTTAAACTTTGGTCATCTTATTGAGGCGCTCGCGCTGCGCCTTCATACGTCAAATTCAATGTGTTCTCCTTGAAGCCTTTTTGGGGAGCGCTTGTTTTCGACTTCTTTTCATTTTCACTCACCTTTCCCCTAACTTCACGAATTGCTATTCACTTGTCTCCCGTTTTACAGCGCGTGCTGGGCGACGTCTTGGCATCC